AATGAAAGGAAAATTCTCAAGGGTAAAGGGCAACTGGGATGTGGGAAAAGAGAAGGGAAAGAAGGAGAAATTTTGTATGTATGTATATACAGGATAGCTAACGTAGCTGATCTACTGTCTTCTATTTCTTTGCTGAGAGACACAGTTAATGAGTCCCTGATTGATCAATACTGCATGTCTCTGTTTTCATGAGAAACCACTTTGAAGATATCAATATGTAATACAACAAGCATTGTTAATTTCCTACCACTTTGTTTTTAACTCTGTATTGTTTGTATTTTTTTTTGCTATTTTGTAAATGGTTGTCTGTTAATGTTTCCCTCCTTTTATTTTTAAAATTTAAAAAAATTTATGTATTTTTGTTTCATAAAGGACTCAATAGACTTAGGAGACAGGTGACAGAGGAGAGAAGATAACAATGACCAGATTAATACCTAGATCCTGCATTATCCAACATGGCATCTGCTAGTCACTTGTTACTAGTTGTTTTAAAATTTTTACTTAATTAAAATAAAAAATTTAGTTCCTAAATTATACTAGCCACATTTCAAGTTCTTAATAGCTGCACATGGCCAGTAGCTACTATTTTGGACAGCAAAACCATAAGACATTTCCATAGCTCATGTTTTAGTTACTTTTCTCATTGCTGAGACAAAATACCTGACACCCAAAGTTAAAGAGAGAAAGGTTTATTTAGCTCCCCATTTATAGAGGCTTTACTCCATAACTGGGTAGCTCCAAGGCAGGGTAGCACATGGCAGAGGGGCAACAGTTCATGGCAGCAGAATATAGCAAAAGAAACAAGATAGAGAGAGTGAGACAAGCCTCTCTCTGTCCTCTGGATATTGAATCCAGTCTACCAGGATTAGGGTGGTGCTAATCTAATTAGTGGACTGATCCTGCAATCACCCACCCACCCTTAATCCCAGCACTGTACTGTTAATCAGTCATACACCCTAGATTCAGCCACCTCCAAAAAGTCTCTCCTCCATGACCGCAGGAGGCTTTTGGGGGACATCTAGATACAAACTATAACATCTCACAAAGTTTTATGGAACAGCAGTGCTCTAAGATACACAGGAAAATTTTGTAAAACAACCAAAAGAGGGAACTTATTAAAAGAGTGGACAAAGAATATAATGAAGACAAGCCCAAATGACTAATAAGTACATGAAAAGACACTCATTTCATTTGTAATAATGAGTAAAGCATCACCTTGTAATTATCTGATTAACTAAAAGTTCAAAAAAGCTTGTAAGAAATGGAAACTTCGTGATTCAATAGTGGAAGTGAGGACTGGTGTAGCCATTCTGGAAAGCAACCTGACACTATCTAGTGCAACTAAATGTGTACATACACGTGTGACACTGAAGTCCTTTTATATGTGGCCTGCCAGGAAAGTTGCATGTTGAATACAACGGTTAGAAGCAGAGCACTCTGTCAAAATTATATCAGAAATGTTAAATTAGCAAAAGTTAAAGTTGAAGAATCTTAAAGAAGATACATAATACCAATGAAAGAGAAAGACTGGAAAAATTAGAGTTTCAGTTCAGTTACTCAAATGACAGGATCCAAAAAGTGCAACGACCTGATGTAACTTAAAACACTCACTAACTAGCACCACAGAATTTTTAAGATTTATGAATTATGCAAGTGTGCACAGCAGACATATTAGAGGAGGACTCTGGAGGAGGAAAGCAAACACAGGCGGTACTCAAAGATGAGGAAAGCATGGTGGATTCATGTGGGCTAATGAAGACAGTGCATGCAGAGTATTTGACCTTAAGGGGACAGAAAGAGGAAGGTTATGTGTAGAGGAAGCATACTGCTTAGAGTGAGAGAAAATAATCAAAGGGTCAGTCACGTGGAAGCAACTTTGAACAGGAAGTTTTTTATTTTCTTTTTTTTTTCTATATGATGGTCTCACACAGGCTCTAGAGGAATAAATTAAGGTCAAAATGAATTCATTGCAATTGGATTCTTTAAAAATAGTCATTTAAGGGACTGGGGATTTAGCTCAGTGGCACAGCGCCTGCCTGGCAAGCATGAGGTTGTGAGTTCGATTTCTGGTACCAGAAATAAACCAAAAAAAAAAAAAAAACAAAAACCATTTAATAATACATCCTCCCAAGGGAATAAATGTGCAGTGAAGGCCAAACCTGGCATTTATCTAAATTTCTTTTCACTTAGAGAAGGAAGAGCTGGCATGATTTATAATAGTATCAAGAAAATGTAAGAATGACTTTGACTTGGCAGTATCTTACCAAGATACAAAGCAGGGGTGCTCCAAAAACACCTTCAATATTTCCATCTCTTGTAAATGGAGATCCTTTACCATCTTGCTCCTACTGACCCCTTGCAGCCTCAGTTTCCAATACACTCATAGTAATGGGGGCTCAGTTTCACCCAAACAGACCAAGTCAATATCCAACCATAGACCTAGAGATTTCCTAAGCACCTGCCTGGGAAATATCACTTGCCAGTGCCTCTTAGTGATTAATCTTTACTCATTTCCTGTGACCTTTTCATATGTGTCCTGTCCTACGTGAATGTTCACACTCTGGAATTGCTAGAGTACTTGTCTACAACATTCATGGCCTGATTTTTTTTTTTTTATCATTTTGAAGGTATCACTCCATTGTCTGCCATATTCCATTGTTTCTGCCAAAAGGTCAGGTATAAACTTATGGCTTAATATTGTTAATAAGTTTTTGAAAATTCTCAACTATTAACTCTTTTTTTAAACTATTAACTCTTTAAATATTGTTTCTGTACAGCTTACATCTCTTTTCCTTCTAGACTCCTGTTATTCTTTGTCTCTTACCTTCCCTTCTTTCTTACCATTTTTTATCTCTTCTGTATTTTACATGTCTTCTGATTCATCAAAATTTAATTAATTCAGTCTTTAGTTGTTCATTATTTTAAACCCACTGGCTGAGTTACTAATTTTTATAATTGTACTTATAGCTTTGAAATTCCCTTTGATTTTTTTGAATAATCTCATTTTTCATCTCTCCATAATTTTTTTTATCTCTCAGCATAATCATTTTAAAAGTTTTTTTTAATGTGATTTTGGAAAGGAATTTTATTGATCAGACTTCTTGGTTACAAACAAGTCCACTGAGACTTGCATTTTATTTGTTTATTTTTGTGGTGCTGGGGAACGAACCCAGGGCCTTGTGAATGCAAGGCGAGAACTCTACCACTGAGCCACACCCTCAGCCCCAGCATAATCATTTTAAAGTCTGAGTTTTACAACTTTGTTCTCTAGATTAGCTATGAGTCTGGTGGTTTTTGTCAACTCATAATTATGTGGTCTTATTCCCTTGTGTATCTGGTTAGTAAATTTTTTTTCAGGTGAAATCTATAGAACATAAAAGTAACCTTTTTAAAATGAGTAATTCAGTAGCATTTAGCACATTCACAATGTAGTGTAACAACTACCTCCATGTAGTTTCAAAATATTTTCATCAACCCAAAAGAAAACCCTGTATCCATTAAGCAGTCACTGCTTACTCCCATTCCCTACAACCCCTAGCAACTACCAATATGCATTGTGTTTTTATTTATTTTATGTCCTTATATTTAAAATAGGTTTCTTCTGGGCAGCATGCAACTGGATCTTATTTTGTTTGGGTCCCCTTACCCCCATACTGTTGCTTAAAAATTCCCAAACAATAATCTAGGGACACCAGTGTGATTTTCTTTGCTCAAGATTATTGTTCTTTGTTGCCTGATGTCCATGGTCTTGCAAACCATTATTTCCTACATTTTGTCCATTTTTCTCCTTTTGGTTGTTTCAGGTGGGAGAGTAAATACAATCTCAGTTACTTTACCTTACTCTTTAAAAACATAATTCATGAGCTTTGAATTAGCAGTTAAATTCATTCTATTCTAAGTATTCAATTTTAGTTTACTTCTTTTCTTTTTCTTTGAGGCCTTGTGGCACATGATCATATTTTAACCAAGACATTAGCCTTTCTGAATATAAGCTTCACTGGTAGCTTATATTATACAAAATATGCCCACTTCTTCCAGGTTAACCTGCTTTGCCTATAATCAGCAAGTTCCGGCCTCCAGACCCTTTCCCCCAGGAGCTGGCAAGAATAGCATTTCATGAACTGCTGACAGTGTCCTTAGTCATCAGATGCACTTGACAATAGCTGGCCTCCCTCCTAAAATGAGCATCATTACATCCATCCTCACTCCCACCCACCAGGTGTCTACAGAAGCCCTGAACTCCATGGAAACCCCTGTTAGAGCCCTGGAGGTTTTTGATAACTCATTTTAAAACACAGCCTGGTTAACTTTTAGGTGTGTATAAATTTCTGAAGACAATCAACATTTACACAAAGATGTTCTGAGTTGAGGTATTTCCCCTCCTCCTCTTTTTTTTTTTTTTTTTTTTTTTTTGCCATCAGCATATAGTACTTCTAAATGCTGTAGCTGCTCACTGCTACCCAGCTCAGGCTCTCCGGGGTGTTCACTTTGAGAACTACTGGTGCTGTGGTACACATGTGATGGTGACATCAGCCATCTTATTAGAGGCAGACACCTGTGTGAGTCCCTTCTTAGAGACCAACTAGATTGTCACACCGGCCCTAGCATGCTACGATGAAAGAGCATTTAAACATATAGTAAGATTTCTATCATGCTCAACATTGCTCATCACCAAACCCCCTCCCTGCAGTGGTTGCTCCATCTCTCTCTGCTCTTTCTCAGCCAGACTTCTTAGAAGAACTGTCTGCACTTGCTCCTTCATGTCCCCATGCCTGGCCAGATGTGATCTGGCTTTGACACTCCACACCCAGCCTCCAGGAGTGTCTCTTACCAGTCCTGCGATCTCCCGTCAGGTCTCATCCTGCTTGCATGGGCAGCACCTGACACAGCGGACCCACTCCCTCTCTTCCTAGTTTGCTGCCGCTCTGCTCTTTCTGTCCCCTGCCTGTTTGGTTGAGAGTCCTGAAGGCTTTGTCCCTGCTTTTTTTCTTCCAGGAGAACCCATGACTCCTGAAGCTTTGATGACTCCTACCTGATGGGAATGAAGATGGGAAAGACTTGGTAATCAAGGAAGTGTGCCAGGCCTTGCGTTCAACCCTGAGAGGATTGCTGGAAAGGAGAATTTAAGTCAGCTAAAAGAGAATGGGACTGTAAGGATTAACCTGCTCTTTCTAGGCGTGGCATTTAAATGCTGACAAGTGATAAGACTTGGGTTTCCAGAACACAGTAAATTTTAAATATGCAAGGCAAGAGGTTCCCACAGACAAGTTATTATCACATCTGACATTTTGTGAAAACAGAGAGCAATGCATCAAACTGGAATGCTGAATGAGATTCCATCATCTCGTGTTGTAAAAGGAATATGACCCCAACAGGCCAACATTTCTGCCCCACCATGGGAAAAGAACCATCCAGGTGTGTCCATTCCTACTGGCTGTATATGTATAATGTGTAAACAGAAGACACTGCCTTTTTAAGGCTGCTGGTCTAAACACCAGAACCTAGTAGCTACAGTTTTATCCAGTCGCCAAGCTCAGCTTGGAAATCTTCCTTCCTACCAAGACTTAACCCTCCTTCCTGGCTGAGCTTGAAGTTGCCTGTGCTGGAAGTCTTTGTCATCCTTTGCTTGCTCCTTTGTGAGCGTTTGGATATTTACACTTCATTCATTCTGCTGCAGTTCAGGTAACTTGTCAACAAACCTTCCTTTTTCAGCTTTTCTGTACGCTTTTTTTCCCCCAGTACCGAGGATTTCACACTGAGGCACATCTGCAGTCCCTCCCCAACATTTTTGAGATAGGGTCTTGGTAAGTTGCCCAGGCTGGGCTGGAATTTGTGATCTTCCTGCTTCAGCCTCTCAGAGTCCCTGGCTTCTGTAGGCTTCCTGAAGGCAGGGCTAGTCCCTCGAGACACCTGTCAAAGCACTTCATACACCATGAGCACTGAGTGAGTGTGTGTGAACTGAAGTTTACCTGGAAATTCCTGTAGCAAGGGAGGAATTCCCACAGACGGGTGGCAGTGGCAAGGTGCATCTCAGCGGCATCTGTCAGCCGTGAAATGCCCTGATGTAGCACCTCACCAGTCCCTGCACCAGGCAAATAATTCTCTACTCCAAGGAAAGGGGGAGGGCTGGGAGAGAACACTTCAGGCCCTCCCTGCCCCATCCGGCAGCACATCCTCCCCATGAGCCCTTGGATGGCGTCAGTGGTGCCATGGTAAGGAGGGCAGTCAGTCTGTCTAGGTTGAGTAATGGTCCAGGGCTAGGTCACCACAGGGTGTGCATGTTGGTGTGTGTCCATGTGTATGATGTGTGTGTGTGAATGCACACGGAGGGAGGGGGGACCTGCAACATAACAGAAACGCCCTAACAGGCAAGGGGCAACCTGGTCCGTGTAGCACACCAGTGAAGGGTCAGCCTTTCCTTCTGGCCCACAAAGCCTGCCCGCTGCAGGCAGTGTGAAATTTCACTCCAGAATAGAAGTTAATATGTTAATAGAGACCAGGTTGTTGCCATAGCAACCACTACAGTATCCTCTGACTCCTGTTAATTCATAAAAACCCAAAGGTGAGCAGAGGTGGTGATGATGCCTCTGGTTGAGCCAGTGTGCCGCCCTCGTCTGGCGTGGGGTAGAGGGCTGACTCCCCGGGTGGTGAGGCCCCTGCACACTCTGCAGACAGAGAAGGATGAAGGACAGACAACTGGTTACCAAGGTAATACCAGGCTGGGAGCACAAGAGGAGGAAAAAGGATGGGAGTTACCTGCAGAGCAGAAGCTACTGCCTCCCGGGACCGGAGCCCTTGATCCCACGTAACTTCCGTGCTCTCCAGGGTGCCAAAGACGGGTGCTTCAGGAGGACAGGGCCATCAGTGCCAACCACCGGTAGGGCCAAAGCCGCACCAGTCTGGGAGTGTGGGCAGCGTCAGCCCCATGCTTGCAGCCCAAGCACAAGGTGGGCATGGAGGGCAAGTGCAAGGCCAGGAAAGTCACCGAGCTGATCCAGGGAACAGTGTGGCATGTCCTTGCTCTTGAGTCTTCTCCTGTTTCAGAAGCTGTGTGGACTGAGATAAAGAAAACAACCAAGTGAGACGGCAGTGCTGGGGGGAGGCTCTGGGAGATCATTTGGTCCCCTCTGAGCAAACCCACTTGAGTTTCACAGATAAGGAAATAACAGTGTTCATAATAGCGGCTTCTTTTTAGTACGTGTGAAAGGGTTCCTGCATACTTGAGAAACACCACCTCATTTGTGTCTCAAGACAGTCCAATGAGATGGCCGTTATCTTTGCTTGCATTTCACAGATGACAAAACAGACTCCAGAGGCCAACTCACTTACCTGAGGTGCCCTGGCCAGGCAGAGAAAGCCCTGTGCTATGGTTGTTTACCAAGGCGATTTCCATTACACCATGGCACCATGCAGCAGACACCTTCCACGGGATTGCTGTCCTAGAACCGAGCTGTTGGAAAGGGTTCCACTTGCCCAGTTGGCCAGAGACATATCTTTGTGGTTAGATTGAAATGCAGGGGCAGAACATGAAGATCAGGCCACAGAGGCAGTGGATGCTGGGAGACAATGTCCACTATATCCGTGAATGCTCCATGAGCCCTGAGGATTGGGCCATTTCCAAGGCCTGAGAAAGCCTGCTTGAGGTGCTGGAGGAGGAAGGGACCTTTAGATCAGGGATGAAACAGCTGAGACCAGGAGAAACACTGGAGAAAGAAGCTTGGTGCCCTGGACTGAGGAGGCCTGGACTTGATCATTTCAGAACTAGGCCTCAGATCATGGGGAAAAGCCTGAAGGAAACACCAATCTATGCAAGGAGGTTGTCCTAGACCAACAAAATGGCCTCTGGGTGGAAAGAGTGAAGTTCCACCTGGAGAAGGCTATGGAGTGACAGGACTGGGAGGTGTATGGAGGTTACAGGATATGAGGGGTGGAGGAAGGAGAACAGCAAGTGCTAGGAGAATTGGAAAGGAATGTTCAGGAACTTAAAGAACAGGGAAGAAATCTTAGAAACTGCCCAGTGTTTAAAGGCCGAGTCTTAGCTAAGAGACCTTCACCTCTTTCCTCACCTGCCCCCAGGTCCAGTGTGCTATTTCCTGCATCCCCAAGGTCGCTGTCCTGGGCCCTCTTTGCTACCACAACTGACTTCCCCAGGTTTAGTCTATCCCATCCCCACACCCTACGAAACACACTGTTGACGTTGCTGCTCGGTGCATAGTCATCCTTCTTCAGCTCATCCTTCCCACTCCCATCCTTTCTGTAGGAGCACCTCCGACTCATTACCTTCAGGACCCCTTGGGCCCATCACGTGTCTTCCAAGCACACCATGCTTGATTTCTCTTATCTCACTAGACTGAGTGCTGTGAGTTGGGTCCAATTCATCTGGGATCCTTATACAAAACCCTGGAGCTCAAAGTTGGTTGTTCATGTAGGGACAGAAAGTGGTGAACCCTGTTCTTATCCATCATAAGGGCCACAAACAACACTCCTATAACAACAACCAAAAAAAGATTAATAAGAGAAAATCAGAATGAATTTACTTAAACAAGGCTTTATGTGACAGGAGAACCTTCAGAAATGAGGACTCAAACTCCAGAGGCAGCTGTCTGTTTTTATACTTAGATTGGATGAAGAAGGCACCGCTATGTAGAAATGCGACAGGACGAGTGTATGATGTAATGTAATAGCATGGGGGTGCCCGGCAGAGCCTGTCTGGTCAGATTCTCTTGGTCTCTGTGTAGCGTTCCTCCTCCTGTGGGGGAGAAGGAGCAGGCACCTCTGGAGTGAAGGCCTCCAAGGAAGAAGGAAGAGTGAGCTTTCGAGGTTCAATGGCCTGCTTTGGAGAGGGTTTTAGTATCTATGAGCCACCTTAAGGAAGAGGAATTCTGGTTTCTTTGACTCCAGAAAAGAATAAGAGGGAGAGACAGGAGGGCATTAGACAGGCAGACGCTTTGCTCTTGAGGTTGTCTCTGAGCCCTTCTAATCTCCTTTGGTTCACAGCACTCAGCATGCTGGGCATAGTGATGCATACCTGCAGTCCCAGCACTCCGGGAGGCTGAGACAGGAGGATGGAAAGGTCAAGCCCAGCCTGGACAATTTAGAGACTTAATGAGACCCTATTTCAAAGTAAAAATTTTAAAAAATAACAAAGAGCTGTGGAAGTGTGCATACAATTTAGGTTCTTCCTAATACCAAAAAACGCTTTTTTTAAAAGAACTTAGTATGCCAAAGGTTGGGGTGGCATTTTCTGAGTCCCAGCAGTATAATTAGCAATAGCAACTTGTCAATTCCATTAAAAAGGAGATAGGAGGTGGTCTGCTGATAGCCAAAGTTGAAGCTGAAACAATAGAGTTGAAAAAGCTCATTCACTGTGCGCCCTCTTGTGGGGAAGAGGACAAAGAACACGTTTTTCTCCTTGTGTTGGGGGTTGGAATCCCGGGCCTCCTTCATACTGGACTAGAACTTGTGAACCTCCTGTCTAAGCCTCCAGAGTAGCTGGGCTTACAGGCTTGGACTATTCTAATTTCGAAGATAGAAATTTAGATGTTCCCCTATATCTTCTTCCTCCTTTTCCACACATACGTATAATACAACATTAAGGATAAATTTTTTTGCCATAATATGATTTATGATTTTGTAAATGCTTTTCACAGATGAACTAGGCAGTATAGTATAATTATATTTTGTTTCTGGTAACACTCTTTTGTGTTTTTGAACTAGAAAATCATTACTTGTTTCATTTGCTTGGTTTCTAGGCACTTATCAAAACTAATACCAAAAAAAAAAGCCCAAATTTTCTTCTGAAGCTGTTACAATCTCTCAGAATTGCCAAACAAATCTAGACTCTCCAACAATTCTACTTTAAAAAAATGATTGTGTCTATTCTCCGTGCTACTGCTTAAATTGAGATGATTTTTCCCTCTCATCTGAGACACACACTCTGGGACCCCACACTTGCTTACCTTTTTATTCTTTGTATGAATAAAAAAATTGACTTTTAATAAATCAAATGATTATATTTTTGCTTTGTGGTTAGAGCTGTTAATGTCTTATTTTTAAATTCTGTCTGTATCCTCATAGTGTGAAGATATTTTACTGTGCTGTGTTCTATAATCTTTCTTATTTTGCTTATTCACAGTTAAGTCAACATTTCACTTGGAAATAATTTTTGTGCATGGTGTGAGGTAGTTATCAAATTTCATTTTACTGTTTCTATATGGATTTTAACTGATCTGCATGGTTTATTGAAATGATCATCTCTACTCTGCTATTCTGTAAAGCTATTTGTGTCTTTTGTCAAGCATTCACGTGTGTGTAAACCTATTCCTGGGACCTTACATCTCTTCTTTGTTCAGTTTATTTATCCTTATATTAATTCTATTCTGCTTCAGACATTGCAACTTTTAAATAAATCTTGATAACCTGTAAAATATAACATTCCATTCTCTTTGCTCTTCTTAACATTTGCATTTTCATACAAGTGTTAGTATTAGCTTTTCCGTTTTGTTCAAAAAGCGTTTCAATTTGGTGGGGGAGGTTTGCATTAAATCTACAGATTCATTTAGGAAGAACTGTCATATTTATGATATTGGGTCACCTATGCAATCCATGAACATAGAATATCACTCCATGGATTTAAATTTTCTTTAACTTCTGTCAGTAATACTTTTTCACTGGCTCCTAAATAATCTATCTAAAATCTTAATTTCTCCTACACCAGGTAACAAGACACCGTTTTAGGGACTAAGAAATGGATAACTGGGGTGGGGGACATTATCCTCCCCACCACCCCCGCCATCCTCAGTGTTTCTACCTTTCATCTTTCAGTTCTTTGACTCACAGTTTCCAAATCACTGTGCAGCCTCGAGCATCACCTTCTCTCACCACTGTGCTCAAGTCATAATTAGCAGGGAAAGGAAAAAGTGTTATCCTTTTATTGAGCAGAAAGTCGTTCCCAGACGCTTACCAGGAGATTTCTCTTCCTTGTCATTGCTCAGCACTTGGTGTTCTGACCCAGCCTAGCCGCGGATGAGGCTGATATGTGATAGGGGCCCAAGGAGAAACGAGGGTCATCCCCAGGAAAAAGGAAGTGTCCCTTTGCCCTGGCCCCAATAGTCGGGATTCTGTTAACAAACAAAAAAGAGGAAACTACTGTCAAGCAGACTACTAGTGGTGTCTGCCACAGAGAGCCACCAACAACGACGTTTTAGTCACTTCTCCCGTATTCCAGCTTTCCCATCTACCAGCTGCTTGCATTCCAATTTATGCTATTGTCTGTTTTTCCTGCTGCTTAAGCTGTAAGGTTAAGTACTTCAGGTGTTGGTGATTGCTATTTTGCTTTTTTGTTGGTTTTTTTTGTTTTGTTTTGTTTTTAGATAGGGTCTCACTATGTAGCCCAGGCTGGCCTTCAACTAATAATGATCCTCCTGTCTCAGTCTCCCGAGTCTCCCGGGGTTACATGCATGCGCCACCACGCCCAGCAGCTTTTGATTTTTAAAGACAAATTTTTAGAACTCAAGAAAAGGAAGAAAAAGAATAAGGAAATATCTCTAAAAGCCCCCCCCTTTTTTAAAAAAATGTCTACTGTAATAAAAAGTCTTGGCTTTAAAGACCACTATGAGGTGTAAAAAATATCTAGAAAAACTCCGAATTTTTCTGCCTTTAGGCTTATGAAAACTATAAGGGCACAAAGGCTGTGAGGTGAAAGGGAAATTTATTGAGAACAGCACTGTCAGAAGTTACAGTTTTAAAGTCCTGTGCTCTTACAAGAGTACGCTTGGTGCCTCCTTTCCGCTTTCAGAATTGAGTCCTGAACGCACTGCAATCTGTACGTTTGCTCAAACTTTTTCTTGGCAGTCGTTCTGATGCAGAAGACCACAGTTCTGCCACTGTTGGATACAACAAGGATTTTCGATGTGAGGAGGGAGGAGGAGCCTCTGGAGAACACCCCCCACCCCAGGCTCTGGGTCTCACCCCAGGCCAGAGCAGACCTTGCTCCCGAAGCCACTTGCCATAGAGACTTTGCCGCCAACGTGCTCTGGAGCACAGACGGACTGGGACGTGGAGAGGAGGTCACTTCATTAAACGGTGACAGGTCCTTCCTCTCTGCAGAGGGTTCAGCAGGGTGATGTGTATAAAGCACTTGTCACAGTAATATTAACTTCTTATGAAATATAAGTTTTGTTGTTGCTAGTATAATAAATTGATTTCCCAGATGGGAAAAGGAAAGTGTAGAAATCATGTTCCTTGGCTCCCTTCTGTGGAAAAGAAAATTTGGAAAATGTGTAACAGTCTCTATTCCACTCTAGGCGTCATTATTCCAGAGAAGCGTCTCTCTTCCTGTAGCACTATGTAAAATTTAGGGGAAAGACTCTATCCAGGTCATAGGCAGACCCCATAAAGCCGGGGAAAAAGGCTGAAGGTACTGAACTGGAGAGACACGCCCTTAGGAGTTCAATCTCCTTATTCCAAGTTCCATTTTGTGCTTTATGAAAAAAATTCTTGTAAAATAAATTTGGCAGTGGGCACAACAGTGTTACAACAGCTCTGTAAATTATTTGGGAAACCTAATTATGTTTGCACTGATAAAATTATCTTATCAAATGTTATCCTCATTAGAAAAGGCCCAAATTCCAAGGGAGGTTTGCAATTTGCCGTTCCTGGATGATTTCTGAAGAGGGAGGTTAATGGTAATAACTCGTTTTCTGTCTCGCTTCACAGCGAGGATGTCTGTCGAGTTTAGAAAAGATTCTGTACAGGTTCCCTGAGCTACACGTGAAAGAGGAAACGGTAAGGGAGGGGTCCACGTAAACGCGAGAGGAACCCGAAGGGAGAAGAGAGCAATCGCAAAGAGCAGTAACGTAGCCTACAGAGAAAGAAGCAACTGCCATGGACCGCAGGTCTTTCTAAACTAATCCAGGAAAGTTTGCTCTCCAGCTTCACCTGGCCCTTGTACAGATCGGAGCTGCCTTCAAGCACCCTGCCAGCTATGGCTGAAACCAAAACGGTACGTGAAAGGGCAGCATCGGGCGCTGTGGTACAAGGACGTTCTTGGTCTCGGTCTAGAGAGTTTCAGCCGGACTCCAGCAACAACAGAGGACGAAACAGGAGCTGAAAGCCGCCTGCAGACAGATTTTTCCGAGTGGTTCAAGAACTAGTAGAAAACTCAAGTGGGAGCTCATTGTGATTTTATTTTATGTATTTATTGATGGGTTTCTTTAAAAATTTTTTTTTTCTTTGCCGTAGTGGGGATCAAACCTAGGACGTTGTACGTGCTAAGCACACACTGAGCCACTGTGCTACATTCCCGCCTTCACCGTGGCTTTCATCAGAACTTCTTCAGTGACTGGGGATATTGGCCAAAATTTCATGGGTTTATTTTTGAAAACTCAGATTGTTTGTTCTATTGAGTTATAAGAGTTTTACATAATCAGATGGCAAATTCTTTATTAGATTTATGCTCTCAGATATTTTTCTCTTAGTTTGCTTTACCACAGAGTCTTTTGAAGAGCAAAATGGTATTTTCCCCTCTAATGGTTCTTTTTCACTGTGCCCCATCAAAGAAATCCTTGCCTAACTCAAAGTTGCAAGGATTTTTTTCTATATTTTCCTCAAAGAGTTTTAGTTTTAGCACTTGTAAGCGAGTTGGTTATGCATTACAAAGTGATTTTGTGTCTGGTATGTGATCAGGGTGAAGATTCACATTCTATGGTGAATGTCAGGGGCTGAAATAGTAGGGAATGAGGAAAATTTTGTTACACGATGATAAAAAAATTCCTGGAATTACACAGTGATCATTTTCAAAACCCCTAAATTGTACAGTTCAAGACGGTTAGAGGTGAATTTTACCATGTGAATCTTATTTCAATAATAATTTTTTAAATAAAAAATATAATAAGATTCACTTTCTACTAGAGTTACTGGTCAGGGAACATTTAAACTTTTCTTTCAGAGGCTTAACAGGTTGAGAGGAATAGATATGACAAACGGTTAGAAGTCAGAGGAAACCCTCTTTTTGGTGGGGGCAAAATATTATGCCTTTGTACAAAATTATGGGCCAGTTTTAAATCACATGAGTTGCTAAAAAAAAATCCCAAAACTTGCATGTGGTTTAAGAGGGTTCTGAATCCGTAGCCCTGGGTATCTGATAAGTAACAAATTAAAATCTTCCTTAGAAGAAAATACCTTCATCCAAATCTCAGATTATTCCTATAAGTAACTTCAAATACAATTGAACAGCTATGTCCTGTGGCAGATACTAGCGGTCCCAAAGTGTGTCATTTTGTCTGTCTGATTATTAGAAGGTTTCTCTGCAGTTCGTAGTCATGGCTCACTGGATAGCGGAAAAGTTGCTGTTTTGCTAGGGTATAAAACTTGTTGGAAATCTGTACGGCAGAACCTGCCAGAAATCTCTTTAAATTGCGAGGGAAAACCTTTCCCTGGGAGGCAGCTTCCTGGAAGAAGCAAAACTGCCAAGAATACATAAGACACTGCTGCCAGGAGAGCTGCTGCTGGATGCAAGAGAAGCTGACTGCTCAGATTGCCTGGCCAGTGCTGGAATATGGGAAGAGAAGCCCTTCCCACCGCGGTGTCCCTCCAGCGCCTTCTACTGACAAATTGTAACATCATGGCCCTGCTACAGGGAAAAAAATTGTTAAAACCCATTTCACGAGATAGATCAGGCAAATAAGAATGAATGTCAGCAAACTAATAGCTGGCAAAGGCACTGTGCTGTGTTGAATAGTGTACCCCCCCCAAAATCCATGTCCACCTGGAACCTCTGAAGGTGACCGCATTTGGACATGTATACTTTATTTTGCGGGTGCAGTTGGTTAAAATGAGGTCAGACTGGATTCAGGTGGACCCGAAGTTCAGTGACTGGTGTCCTTTAAGAGGAGATAAGAGATGGAGCCACACTCAGCTTCAGACTCAGACTCAGAAGGAAGGAAACCACGTGACAACAGAGACAGCGATTGGAATGATGCAGTTCCTCTCTGAGGACTGTCACAGATTGTGGAC